GCTTGAACTTGGATCGGGTGATTTTATAAAACCGCTGGAAGTGAAGCCGTTTTAAACATTGGAGTGGATTGGGTACTCTTTATTAAACAGGAAAGTTGATCTGTTGTCCAGCAGGAACGTAAACACGTGTGAAGAAAGTGCATCGTTATTTCGAAGAATTTGGTGTTTGCTGTTTGGTATATCATGCTGATGCATTTTGAGAAGCTGTGGATTACTATCAATTTATGATAACGGGCATCCTATATATATATATACTAGTTGGATTGCACGTGCAATGCACGTGGTAAGTTTTCATTTTTTGTTTTACATTTATAATTTTATTTATAATGTTTTGTTATAAAATTGTGGAATGTAAGTAATGGATAAAACATATAGACATAATCTAAACATTCAACAATTGAACAATTAAATTACATTTATTGATTGATTGGGGGGCCAATGCAAATTTGTAAGCTGGTTAAGGGTTCACATTAATTTATCATAAGTGAATTCTCGTTGCAGAAAACAATACCGATTAGATTTAAATTAAATGGAACACATTTGACCGTTCGAGAGAAACTTATAAGAAAGTAAAAGAATTACAAGTTAAGAAGGCAAACAGCCGTCATCTACAAACAATGCACTGTTTTCCTCTGTATTTATGCAGTTTTTTTCACTGTGATGTAAGCGTCCAAACATTATACATGCATTATCAGTCATGCTCTCAGTACAAATGTTTCAATCGATGACTTGCTAAAGCTACTAAACTGAATGATTAATGTTACATTTGAGACGAGTAGTACAATGTTAAGAGGTTAGCCGCCGCTTTCTTCAAGAATGGGCTGTCTTCAATAGTATCTCGAAAGTCTGCTTTCCAGAAGATAGTCCGAAAGCCCAAGCATGCGGCCAAGCCAATTGAGCCCTTGCTGCACCTTCTGAGTTTTGAGGAAATGAATCTATAAGTTGTCCTCCAATTCATCTGGGAGATGCAATTTCTCCATCGCAGACTGAAATTTATATATAAATGTTAATAGGTTATAAATAAAAAAGCACAACAAATACAGGCATTTAATGATGAAGAATTAATTCCTTGAATAGCTTACTGCCTTAGTTTCATTGTTTCTACAGTAGAATGTATTTTATAAACCCCATAATTTGCTTAATCATGTGTCCATAATTGGCTAAAATGTCTAGAATCATACTCTATCACCCCTTATTAGTTGTAAATGAGAGAATTCTACATCATGGCTCTTCGAAGTTAAGGGGGGAGGCTCAAAAATGATTACTAATTGTTTGCAATTTTTAGTCTTTTTGGTAGTAAATGAGCGTCTTCTACATCATGGTTCTTTGAAGTTAAGGGAGAAAACTAAAAAATAATTGCTAATTGTAGAAAGGGTGAAGAATGTTTAGCGGCGGCCAATACAATTTAAGCCTTGCTTCTTCTTCTTCTTCTTCTTCTTCTTCTTCTTTTTTCGGTCGACCGCGTGTGACGCGGCGGTCGACCGCTGGGCGTTCTGTCGAGCAGAACGTCTCTGCCCTATGCACGGTTGACCGGAGTGGTTTCTGCGGTCGACCGCCGTGCTGTTTGTGCAGGTATTTATTTTGGTTGTGTATTTTATACGTCCGAGGGGTCGCCTCGATTATCTAACAGTTTAGCGGCGGCCAATACAATTTAAGCCTTGCTTCTTCTTCTTCTTCTTCTTCTTCTTCTTCTTTTTTTTTTGCTTTATTTGGTTTTTTTCTGTAAAGTATTATGATGGCTGATGTTCAGGTGATGCTTTCGTTCGAAGGCTTCAAAATTCAATGTCTAAATTAAGGGGGAACTATCAAATGTTATATCCTAGCTTGTGGTGAGTGACGACGACGATTTGTTCGCTCCCCATCCTGTTATAACTGTTATATCAACTTTTGGATATGGGACTTTTTAAGTTCTGTTCGCATCCGTCTTGTAAATTTTTTTTATATTTTAATATATTTTCAATGAGTATGTCACCTTGCCTTCTTTTTCTCTAAAAAAGAGACGGGAAGATGATTAAATCCATATTAAACCCTATAGTTTTTATCTAACTTGGACTTGAAAATAGTTTAGGCCATACAAGTACGTGAATAAATTTAAAACTTAATAGATCTCAACATTTCAAATAACCTTAGGCATCTGAAATAAGAAAGGGAAATAATAAAGGGAAAGGACAGACCATACAGGAAAATCTGAATGCAATACCTTGATAGCAGCAACATCAGCTGCTGGAGGCTTCAGGTCCAATGCAATACCAAAGTAGAACATGTCCTTAGCATGCATATTAAGCCTCTTGCGAATCTTCCCCATCAACGCGTAGATGCTGCTCTCACATGGAGTGAAGTCCTTAACATGCTCCAAATGCTTCAATGTCCTATATAAATATCATAGGACAAAGCTCCAATATAACAAAGAACCAATATATGGTTGGATATTTTCTTCATAATTAACTAAAGTAACAATGTTCAGGTAAATTACTTATAAACATTAGCACTTTCAATATTAAGTTTTGTACTGGTAAATCATGTTCCGGAATGCATAAAAAAGAGTATCACTAAAAGAAATCAATACATTTATGACAACCAAATTCCAAGGTTACTAATTTGGTCCATGGTGATCAATTTTATTGAACAAATAATCTTTAATTGTAGCTGTACTCATAGTTTGTCCACATATTATCTAAATTATCAAACAAATATGTGCACTGGATATCAATCGGAAACTGTCCATGTATAAGTCCTATATATTTTAATCTACAAACTCCATAGAAGCCTCAAGACTATTTGAGTGGTACTTGAACCCATCAAAATGTTAAAATGCAATTTGCTACGAGTATTCACTTTGGAAAAAACAATGGTGTCTTGTCACCGCAGACATGCATGTTATTCAGATCGTGCAATTTTCTAAACTTATAGCAAAAGGAGATTGTAGTTCCCAACTTGAGGTTGACATAACACACCTGAAGGTACTGATGATAAATTGCATAAGGTGCATAATATGATAAAAGTGATAGCAAATCTTCAATTATACTCCCCACATCCATTTCTGGTGCAACAACTATCAAGCTGCAAGATGAAAAGCAAAAAAAATGCAGCACTGTAACAATCAGTCAATAAAATCTTGTTTAAAGATACTTTATCCCAATTTTCTACCTAGTAAAGCCTTTCTCTTTCCATGATTTTATGTCTTCTGATGATGCCTGCCTTCCTGCAGGTATTGGTTTTTGCACTAAGGAAGAAGTGCTCTGATGTGTGTCATCAACTCCATCAGAAGAACATGGCAATAAGGACGCATTACAGGCATTATAATGCAATTCTAAAGACTGGACGTTTGGGTCCTTTTCAAAGGAAAAGGCGACATTGTTTTGAGATAGCGATAATACAGAAAATGGTGCTTGAAGAATCCTGCATCAATAAGCATCAGTACTTCAATAAGTAGACTGCGGAAAATACATATCCTCGTTTCTGTATAATTTTCCTCTTCGATTGTTATGCGGTTAGAGCATGTAAAAGGGATGCTGGACTGTACCTGCGGCATACTTCATTACTAAAATTGAATATCCTCACTATATCAAGGGAGGGTGGCTTTGTTCCAAAATAGGTACTGCACACATGACATGAACCTGCAAAGTAAAAGACATAGTCAACATAATTTTCCAGTAATATCTCAATATCAAAACATAGACACAAAATTCTATGTTATGAAAGAATGAATTTTAATTTTTTTTGGCATATATAAGCCTAATACATTTTATAGGTTTGCGGATCAAAGCTATCATAGTAACTAAACTACATAACAGATATGTAGGACAGACACGGATCCGACACGGTCATCCGACACAGTCATCCGACACGCCGAAACGAGACAAATCCTAAAAAATACATAAGATACGTGTGTTCGACACGTGTGTCCGACACGGACACGACACGACACGGCTTCATGTTATGTGTGTCCGTGCTTCATAGCATAACAGGTTTATTCATATATAGCAGCTCATAAACACTCAATGCTCTACATGAAGCCCATCTTCCAATGGTTAGGGAGGGCTGTAATTAGTATTGGTCTATTAAGATCAACATGTTGGACCAGTGAGGTTAACTTGAACACTGTTTGCTATTATGATGAGAAGTTTGAGGGAAGGAAATGCATGCTCACCAACTAAGCAACTGAATGATCTAAGTAAACATGTCGATGACCACTGGCAACAGGCTTTTTATAAATTTAGCTCTCATTTATTTTTTTATTGGATAATTAGTACTTGCATATCGAAGAAATATATTAGATCCTTTGAAATATCATAGATAACATTGTTATTCTAACTATTTAGTCTTTTTCTTACAACCATCATAATGTAGTTTTACATATTAGCTGGTTGGTATATATGAATGACATGTTCTGAACACAGATATTCAATAAGCCATTATCCGAAAAATCAATACAATTGTTTACAATTCCAAAATTGATGCTGGACAGGATGAAGTTGAAACAAGTATGTATGTTAAAACACACTTACGCATGCACATATGCATACACCAGAACTTGAATGAGCATACGCAGACACATCCTACCTACTAAACTACATAAGTATACATATGGCTAGCGCTTTAGAGTCTCCAAAGACGAATGAAGTTTGTTCCAACCTAAGTTGCATGGAAACGGGTCGGTAGGGGTGCAGGTAACACGCGCACGCGCGCACACTATATATATATTGTGAGGAACATGGTGCTTAGGCATACCCAATTCACCCAAAATAGGCATACCGCACACTATATATATATTGTGAGGAACATGGTGCTTAGGCATACCCAATTCACCCAAAATAGGCATACCCAATTTCAACAACACACGCATACGGTCAAGGTGGCCATTATGAGGAACATGGTGCTTAGGCATACCTAATTCACCCAAAATAGGCTTAAGGCGTCAATATTCAATAGGAGATCCTAGACGCTATATTGTGAGGCCTCAGAGCTGCCTCCGCCAAGGTAGAAGCTGGGACTGCTTTTTAAACAGCCTGATAGTATAAAACAAATGTCCTATTGTATACAGGAAAACTGTAATGAAATAATGCAAGAGAATAGAAGTCATACTCATGGCCGCATAGTGTATGAGCATAAGCAAATCTCGAGTCTAGTTGAACTGCACGCAGAAACCAACCTCTTTCCACATTTAATCCCAAAAAAAGACCCCTTTCAACAATATTTTCAAAAACCGACCTGGTTTCAGTCTTGGCGCTGAAACCAGGTCGGTTTTTGAAAAAAAAAATTCTGAAACTTCTCGGGAGTTGAACTCCTGTGAAGTTTAGCAAAACTGCTAAACTTCACGGGAATTCAACTCCTGTGAAGTTTTATAGTTCCAAAACTTTTTTTTAATTATGAAACTTCACGGGAGTTGAACTCCCGTGAAGTTTCAGACTCCTTTTCACAAAAACCGACATGGTTTCAGCGTCAAGGCTGAAACCAGGTCGGTTTTTGCAAATAACTTCAAAATGAGTATTTTTTGGGATTAAATGTGGAAAGAGGTTGGTTTTGAAAATTTATCCTAAAATGTTATGTTAATTTTAATTCTCAAAACATGCGAGTGAAAAAGAATATTGATATCATATAAATTATTAATTTCAATACCACACAGATATACATGTATATAGTCGTGTCCTCACCCTATCTTTTAATAATTTGTTGTGTCTCATACATGTACCTTTACCATTTTTCATGCCAAATAGAAGGTAACTCAAAAGAAAAGGATTCGATGGGACAAATGAAAATGATGTCATTGAGGTTTCAATGTTTGCATTAGTACAGCTGCTATATAAGAGCAAGAGCAATACAGAGTAACAGAGAAGGATCTTCAATTCGGTGAGAGATGGAACATCTATAGGAGTTAGGATGAGGGTAGTGCCGAGTCATTGGAGGAAATCGATATTAAGGTTTGCATAGTATCAGCTGATAAGAACCTTTCTGAATATGCCCAATATCAGAAATCAGAATTGATTTCTTCCTGTGACTCCTCACTTTCAAATGTGATGTTTCTGTTGCTATTACTTTTGTATCCACTACAATAATAATTAACTCTACTACTATTATAACTACATGAAATTGCGTCCATAATGAACATCACACCATTGACATCTCCATACTTTCCAACTGAACTATTATCACACCTGGTCTTCATGTCAATCACCAATGTCTCCCAACATGAGCCCTGGTGTATAATTTTTCTAGCTTTTATTTTCGTTTTGTTCTTTCTGTCCTACCTCTCCTCTTTCACCTTTATTACAAACTCAAACAACTCTTAAGGCTGTGATAGCACTGGTTACTGCAGTTCAGGGAATCTCAGCCAAACTGTATGCGTCGAATGAAGTGCATGGTGACTAAGCATACGTGAGAGAGAGTGCATAAAGAAGATTTAATGGGTTGCATCCATGTCTGCATAAGTCTGTATTTGACTGGTAATGAAAGAAATTACCGCGAGGTTTCTATACCCACCTATCTAGGATGGTGATGATCCTGTAATCCTCTTATGCAACTGAAGCACTACCTTACACCACCTTCCCAATCTTGTCACGCACAATGATAGCAGATCCCATAACCTTGAAAAATTTCATATTAATGCAGATATTCTACTTGGTTGGATTTGCCTTGTTTTTTTTAAAAAATTTCTAAAGTTAATATGAAAAAATGTTAAATTATTTAATCTAGACGTAAAAGTATATTACAAAATTGCACATCATTTCACACAATGTTTTAAAAAGATGATACTAAACATAAGAGACTTATTAGTAATTCACCAAATTACTATTAATGAGGAATTTATTTCTTGTGCACACTATGTGTGCATGTAAAAAATTTGTTGAAAAAACAAAAAATAACCCATTTCCATTTGAAAGTAAAAAAAAGACAGAATTTGTAGAAAAAACAGCTAGGAAGGTGTTGAAGATGATGGTGGTTAATAGGATTAGTTAAGCAGTACGTAGAACATACCTTTTAATGACCTGGGGAGTCATGCATATCATATATACCACAAATATCATGACTTAAAGAGTGTAAACTTTAGAAACATATAGCCATGAAACTAATTTGAAATGCAACCAAAATTTGTAGCAATTGTAGAGTATGAATTCGTCTAGCAATAAAAGGAACTTGGTGGTTTAAAATGAAATTCTGAATAATATAATAAATGTTTATAACTAACACTATCTGTTGCAATGCCTTAAAAAAGAGGGATGATAAATTCTGGGCTACAATAGGAACTTGTTTGCTATGTTTTGTGGATTTAGGATTTAAAACCTTTCATAGATTTTTTTTTTTTTAGAAACTTTTAGGCTCTCGTCAAAAGCAGGAGCTTCACCATCTGCATTAGGTAAGAACCACAACAATTGATCATTAAAAATATGGAGGGAACGCATCAAGCAAGTATCTATCTATCTACCCTTTAAAAGAGGGAGTTCTAAAAAAACTTTACCCTCCCCAAAATAGTTATAAAAAATAGCATGGGTAAAGTTTACATAAAACTCATAAACAAGGCCAGGATGCACTAAGAATAACCAAGATGTCAAAATTCCATGGATTTCCCTAAAGCAAGAAGCAACATGAAATGCCTATGAATATATAGCTAAAAAACCACAGTAAAGTACCATCAAAAACCAACAAAGCCTGCACCTCATCAGGTGGTACTGTAGTAAAACAAACATGAAATGTTAAGGAAATTCTTTCAAGAACAGGGGGAAATATAGACTATAGGGAGAGCCAATAAGAAGCTAAGCTTAAAATGCATACATGCTTCGATAAATAATACATGTCCAGACTGTTCCTCCAGCAACTAACTCATTACAAACAATAAACTCGTATCTGAAATCATTAAAAGAAATTTGCATCAGTATCAAAGTCTAACACTAAAAGAACAGTGTTATTCAGAACAAGTGCAAGTTTTAATAACTTTAGGGTACACAAATGCTACCAAAAACAAGTGAGGGTGCATAAGTGTAAGTTTAAAAGACATTAGGGTATTTTCTTGCTATCAAATATAAGTGGGGGTATATAAGTGAAAAGTAGATGGAACAATAGGGTATATAAATGCTATTTAGCAAACTAGAAAGTATCATTCTTTTTTCTGTAATTCTAGCTGACATGAGAATCGTCAGATGTAGGTAGGCAACCGGCCAATGGAAAACTTTTCGTCTCAATCTCCTTCTCACTACATAAACTATGAGTCATATATTGCTTCAAACTCTCTTTCATGCTCAAAACAAACACCCCCCTACTTGCTCACATATATAAGCTCGACATGACAAGATTCTGTACCAACATTTAACCAATTTACTTGTCTTGTCTTCATAGGACAATAAATGGGTCTATTAAGCTTCCTCTTATTGTCCCTTTTGCTTATTCTTGTTCATGATCTTTCTTTCTATCTAGTGGCAAGTTGTATTGCTCATCTTCAACATTCGAAGGAATTCGTGAATGTAGATGATTATGGTGCGTATGGAGATGGAGTTACCGATGATAGAGAGGTATGATTAAGTA